TTTTTTTTTTTTTTTTCTTTTTTTTTTTTCCCTTCCAACGCGGAAATTGCCAGCCAGAGATCGCGATAATACATTCGTTCCCGCGAAACTGCTTAATTATCAGCCCACGTTTTTCCATAACATGTACGCTCCAGTTTTTTAATTCCCGCCAAGTCGATGCCGCCGATGAGGTTGTGACACAGTTTCCTCACCGTGGCTAGGACCTTCGTTGGCGGGCTGACACAGTTCCAGGCGAAGGTAACGGAGAGAAGGAGAGAGGAGGTCTGGAAGGGGTGAAAAAAAAAAAGAAGAAGAAGGAAAAGGGAGGATGAAGTAGAAGGCACGACGCGTTAGCACGTAATGTAGTTTATCGAGCGTTACCCGCAGACGATGTGGCACCTGCTTTGCCTTCTTCCTCGAGATCTTGGTCACACGCGTCTATTGCCTGCAATTCTATTATCGAGGAGTACTTAAAAAGTATTTTCTCTCTCTATTTCTTTCTGGATCCTTTAGAAAATGTTTAAAATTCTCGTTAAAAAATTTTTAAACGCTTCATAGTAATTTATATTCATTTAATTGAATTTGTCGAGTAAGTTGAAGTTATCTTGGAATATTTTATAATGTCGTTAGATAAAATGATTGAACAGATCTAATAATTTTTGGCCAAAAAATTAGTGATTTTCAATATTTGTATTTGATAATTTTTATTAACTATTATTTTACCTTAACTTATGCATTATTTATTATGCACACTTTTTATTTCTAATTGATTTTATCAAATATCAAAATATTGTATCTTTATATAAGTTAATTGGTGAATATGTATCTAAGCACGAGAAATATTAAAAATTGTTAGCGATTCTAATTTTGACTGACCAATTGATCATAATATAATTTAAATTATATTTAAAAATCCTCTATCATCCCTTGTCGCGTGTAAATGAAAACTCCCACTTCGAAACGTTAAATTTATTATTCCAAACTTGCTTTGTTTCCTCCCAATCGTGTTTCCAGTTAAACGAGAAGGCCACTTCTCCCTCTTCTCCCCTCCCTCCATTGCTTTTCTCCGTTTCCTGCGTCCTTTTTGTCGCGTCGCGGCGCTCGTTAAACGAAACACGACACTTTCGTACCCTCTCCGCCTGTGGCATAAATATTTCGGGCCAATTCTACGCCGTTCCCTCCGATTTCCCAGACTCGAGAAGCGTACACGTACACGCGAAGGAAAGTGCACTCGGTTTTTCTTTTTTTCTCTCTCTCTCTTTTTCTTTTTTTTCTTTCCGCCGCGCGGCAATTTTCTTCGGGAAAGGCGAGAGCAGCGTTTACTTGGCGGCGACGCGAGGTTTCGTTTGAAATCGTGGAACGCTTCGAGGGGAGAAATTTCTATCACCGCCTTTTCCCTGCCGCCAGGGGAAAATGATTATCGCTCCGTCCAAACTCCTCGATGTTATTGTTACTTATTGAACAGCTGACGACTTGAGGAGGATCCCCCTTGCGTGGGAAATCATGTATCGATTATCGCGAATCGATAACGTAACGCGGTAGTAGGAACTTTTGTTAGAAGCGTGTGTAATTTTTATGATTGTAGAGCGCGCGGAAGGGGGAGGAGGAGGAGGAGGAGGGTGATTGAATGAGTTTTAAGCGTATGGAAGTGGGACGAGAAAGTGGAATGAAAGTATAATAACAGTACTTTCTTTCGATTAGTACGATAATAAACTAGGAAAAATTTTAATGCGTAATTTAAATGTAAAATTGAAATTAAAATTTCGTTTTATTTCGTCTTGTGAACTTTTTCTTTTTCAAAAGGTTCCTTTAATTATATTCGAAATTAATCCTTACAGAAGGAGAAATGTCATAGAAATTTCGAGAGTTTATCGTATTTATTAAGAGAATTAGAATTCATTATTTTCTTTTCACGCGACTCGAACAAAAATAGATTCTAAAAATGAGAGGATATTAATATTCGGATAATTTTAAAGTAAAATTTTAAGAAAATAATAAAAGAAGGAAAACAGAAGGTAAAGAAGCAAGGTTTAAATACTATTTTATAGCAAAACGAAAAGAAAAAAGAAAACAGATAATCAAGAACACGAAGAGCACTTGTACTACTTCAATCACATGTGATCTCATCGATCTAATCCAATCAACTTCTGTCTTCTACACGTTACACAACATATATCACAAGCTCGAAAACGAGAAATTACAATTTCAACTACGAACTATCCTTCTCCATCAATTTTAATATTACTTTTATCCTCTATTAAAATTCACGCCGTATTTTACCTATAAATTCAATACCCATAAAATACACCTAATATATATAATCCACCGAAATTAGAAACGAGTTTTATAAACGTGAACGCACGGCAGTTTATCACCACGTGCTACGTCCAAGAATAACCCGAGCCGATCGATCGGTTAACGATCGTCTACTCTAGTTTCGCACTAAATCAGCTGCACGTCGTTACATGGAAATTACACCTTTACTATTACTATACCCCACAATACACCATAATAAACAAATCATTAAGAACCACCGAAAGAACGTCTCTCAGGACAAAATGAATCGAAATATCAACGCGAAAGAGAAATATCGTCGCAACGATCAAACGCGAGCCGCGCGCTTTTCCATCCCTCGGATCTCAATCGAAGTCGAATCACCGACGAATCGT